TGTTGATTTTGAAAGCGAAAATGATTAAGAAGTTATCTCTAGAAATTACAAGTAGCTTGTATTAAAATATGTAAATAAATCACAACTAAGACCTCAAAACATTGCTTAAGGGATTTAACCTCAGTTACATTATTTTACTGATAAACAGAACATTAAAGAGTTGCTCGTTTGAACACAATATCTTAAAGTAAACCTTTTAACTTTGATCGAAGTCAAGTGTCGGAGTCAGCCAGGAGCAAGATCTATTCAGATCATTTGGAGGTTGAAGTCAAGTTTCCAGTTAGATCAACCCTTGTGGTCTGGTGGGTGACGAAATCTCAGCACGGATACAGAAGGCTCGACTAGCTTTTGCCAGCGAGATATCCGTCTACCAACCAGGGGACGAGTTTACTGCGCAGCAGTTCGTTCCATCCTACTTTATGGCAGTTAAACATGACCAGTAAGAGTAGAGGATATTCGTAGGTTACTAGTATTTGATCATAGGTGTCTTCGAAACATTGCTCGTATATCCTGGGACCACCGAGTAAGTAGCGCAGTTTTTAGGAAACAGGTACTAGGTAAGGATAGCAAATCAATTGATGAAGTAGTGAAACTTAATCAGTTGAGATGGCTGGGACATCTGTTACGTATGCCCAACCACCAAATGCCCCGACATGCGATGTTCATTGGTATAGCAGTAGGTTGGAAGAAAGCTAGGGGAGGCCAGACCAAAACATGGCACAAATCCATGAAGTCTCTGACAAGTGGACTGAGTCATGTTGGTAGGTGTACACTACCTGGTTGGGGATCGCGAGATGATAGCAACCGATGGTTAGAGACCTTGAATGACATGGCTCAAAATCGTTTGCAATGGCGCAGGTGCATCCACTCTTTGTGTTCTCTCAAACTCTAATCTTCTGAATTCTTCATGTCCTTTATTTTCTTTCCCAATTTATTTCACTGGACTATACTCCTTGAATAACATCTTCAAACCCTAAAGTTTCCGATTACTGTTTATACTCTTGCTACCTCTACCACTACGGGATTTGAATCGACAACTGCATCTCTGTGCTAATGTGGTGTGGCAACTCGAACTGATGTACGTACGTACGAAGTTCTACGTTGTTACTGACTGACTGACTGATTGGAAAGAGTAAACTGACCCAACAACGTTCATAAATACTTCGTTTTCCAACTCTTTCCTATGATTTACATTTCAGTTAGCCTTTTCGCACTTTCGCGGACAGCTCGATTTAGTAGGGTTTTTTCACCGTTTGTGGCTAGTATATGCACCCACTCCATATTACCGATTCCTGGTAGAGATAGTAAGAATGTCGGATGCTTTACAAGAAAAAGTATTCGTGCGGTCTGACTGATCGTCGTGATGGGGGACCTGTATTTCTACGTTGGTGCCCTGGTTGGTGGATACACTTGAAATCGAATTCCTGCAGATATTCTTGCCACCTTGCCGTTTGCCCTTCCGATTCTTTGGAATTCTGCAGCCACTGGAGAGCTTTGTGAGCGGTTCTTAGTATAGTGTCTGCCGAGAAAATATGGTCTGTCTTTCCGTATGAATTTCACGACCGCAAACATATATTTTTGTGTAACACAGTAATTCTTTTTAGACCGGTTCAATGTGACTTCTATGCTCAATAACATCCTTTTTGCCATCAGGTCCAACCCGGGACAAGACCACTCCAATTCCTATTTCGCTTGCGTCTGTATCTAAGATGTTCCGAAGTATTAAGCACCCAAACGCCCTGGTACAGCCGAGAGTGCGAAGAGCTCGCTCTCCCTCTCATAATGCTCTCACATGGACACGTTTATACTGCCAATGACAGGGAAGTCCCACTCACTCCCTTCTCGTGGTAAGGGTGGTGTTTACGAAATCGGGAGGACGAAAAGCGAATGTCCGGCGCTTTAACCGGGTTGGTGGGCACGGAGAGTCCACTTAGGGAAGTTGGAAAACCCTGATTCCAAACCAATGATGCACATAGGCTCCAGGATCCTGAGGGAATAAATGGTGTATGAACCAATCGTTGGTCAACGGCTAATATGGGACTGCATCTGCTTACGTTACTCCACTGCCCTGTGGATTAGATCTTTAGGTCGAAGGCTCGGAGTGTGACACCCTAAGGAAACCACCAGCTTCAGTCTGGGCATACGGGCAGTATCACAGCCCACACACATTTATGTGACTTGTGTGTCGCATATGTATTCGGTTCCCATTGTACCAATATTTATTTGTTCAAATAAATAAGTGTTAATAGGGGTGCTGAACAGAGCGCGTCTTTTAGAAAATTGAATGCGCTGTTGCAACTTTTCGACCACTCAAATTCTATATATTTATCTTTTAAACGCATGAGGGGGGCTAGCTATTCCTTCATGAGTTTTTTATGAAACATCTGTAGTAACCCGCCAAACCAAAAACACTATGTACTGCATCAAGTAACATCGGTACGAGCCAATTTTTTACAGCAGTCACATTTTCTGAACCACTGAGAACACCGTCAGGTCCGATCAAGTGACCCGAAAAGGTTATTTCCTTATGCAGTAGGTTGCATTTACTAGGATGAGCCTTTAAACTAACATCACTAAGTCACCGTAACACTAGCTGAAGACGTTGAAGATGTCCTTCGATATGTTGCTGGAAACAACAATATCATCTAGATAAACCATGCACACATTTGAAACTAAATCCTTCAGGATTAATTGCATGAGTGTTTGAAAGGTTTCAGGGGCAGCAGTTAGTCCGAAGAGTATTGTTTGAAATTTGTATAACCCAGTCGGAATAAAAAATTCCGTTATGGCTCTGTCGTTTGGGTGTACCTCAACCTGCCAGTAGCCTGATGTGAGTTCTATGATTGAAAACTGAAATGTTAATGTTTATTTTCAGGGATATGTCTCACCGATTTCTGTGTAATCTTTATTGACTATTTGATGACTCTCATGGCTAAGTTTGATTACGACATGATCACTAAATCAATGCATCATCTAAGTGGATCTTCGCAGTGTAATTTGTATGGTTGATTCTATAATTATATAAAATTGGTTCATTATTCAGTAGTTGAAGTTTTTTGCTATCGGTTTGATTGGAGTTCGTTTTTAGGTTTTGTGAATATTCATTTATTTAACACTTAGTTTAGTTACTGACAGGTCAAGAATTATTTCAGTATTTAATAAATTTCTATCTTCGTTTGAATGAAATTCATGCTAAAATACTTTTCTATTGAAAATAAATGAATCTATCTACTGGTGATTGTTGTTTTTAAATATTTTTGTAGACATTTAGATAATCATAAATTGTGGGATCCTTGTGATTTTCCTTTACTCATATTTCAATATCTTTTGGATTCACTCAAGGTAAGAAAAAAGTTAATTTAAGTAGTTTTCCTTTGATGACCGCATATTTTAAAGTTTATTTTTATCGTAAATTGACACTATCTTCAGAGCTGTTTAGATCTAGGTAGCACAGTTAAATGATGTTTTCACTCTGGTTTGAACTTGCAGCCAGTAATCACTCAAATCTAAGACTGAGTCGAAGCCATTTCGGTGTCTCAACAAGCTTGATCAGAATTTAATACTAACACTCCCAAACTCTAGCCGATTTGTGATAAAGTGCTATTCTTATTCAGTTCCATCAGTATAAATGATTCACTGTTGACTTAATTGGCTCCAAAAGTCACAGCTTCACAGATCAATGATATCGTGCTCGCTGCAAGGTATAAGTATCCTTGTTCTGGTCCAGTGTAAGACCATGGATAAGGACTGCCAAGGTGTCTTCATCTATTCCTAAACAGATGCTTTGCTCTTGATTCATTTCAACTGTTTTGAGATTGTTGTCGGCTGGTGATAAAGTATTTCCTATTTTTTGATGGTTGTTAGTTTCTTTGAGTTTTAAAAAAATTATTTCAGTTTTTATTTGATTTCAAGTTTACGCTGAATTAATTGTTATTATTTCTTTCATAACAGATCGACAAATATATGCATCTATATATGTGTACAAGTTGAGTAAATATTGAAAATTACTTACGCCTGCAATATTCAAAATTAACAAATATGAAAAATAAATTTTTAGTATTATTTCTCGGCTCGTTCACAGTATTCATTCATCATCGCCCTTTGCAATAATAAGGAGATATACATGTTTTTTTTCCAGTAGTAAAAAATATGTACATATTTGGTAATAACTCATTCCATCAAAGAAACATTTTAAAATTAATGAAATGTAATTCCATCCGTGAATGGGTCATTAGGCTGGTGACACTTAATTGAATAGTGAAAGTCAATTTAAAGCCAGTGCTGATTTACGCGTTTCTGTTATAACTGAGAAAACTGATACTGGCAGCCGGGGAAAGTGATTTTTTTCACAATTCAAGCAAGAAGACAAAAATCGATGATTAATGGAAATCTTATTTACACTTCAGAAAGACGACAACAGCTTTAATTAAATACGCATTTAGATATATAATTTTTAGTGGTGCTTGGTGATCAGTCATTAAATACTATACTCACCTAAAGTGATGGAAATGAATTAATACATAATGAATACCTCATGTTACACTGAATGAACATCAAAACATAATCTATCATTTTATTTCGACTTAATAACGTCATATGTAGAGATTTTGTGCGTTAATGTACTAATATCTAGCGACTTCCAACCATTTGGTTGCAAATTTGAACTCTGCAGCACCTTTAGGGCGTTTAAGTGCAGCCCGAATAATTCAGTGGTAACATTTCAGACAGTAAAACTGTAGAAAGCATCAGTTCTCTGACGATTACAAGTTTATCATACTAACGAGTACCAACCATCAAGAATCTCAAGGTCTAAGGTTTCCTGCCGATTACCTCCAGCCAAATATCATCAACACCTACTTGGGTTTAGACCCCCTGGGTAGTGTTATTAGCCTTCACGCAAACAGTTTGGCTTTAAAGCCGAGCACTTAAACATGTACTTGGTAAATGATTAATCAAAATATCAAAAGTTTTGTCGTTCTTCAATTTTTCAGTAAATGGTAAACTGACATTGCCATTTGAATTGGATTTTTAGAGGTTGTTGTTGTCGTTGTCATTTTTTTCAGATTATTTTTAGTAAAATATCATAATTTAATAAAAAAATGTTAGTGATCTTTCTCAGCATACACTGTCTGTGGTACCTCATATACTCGAATGACTATCAAAGGGTTATTATACAATATAACTCTATATTGTATCTACTAATTATGAGTAACTCAACGTTGTATGCACATTGTTTTGATGTCAGATGATTGGAAGCGATCGGCATGAAATCTTGGACCTAAGTTTTAAAATTTTATCGACTTTGATGGTGTTACACAATGTAAACCACTGTTTATTCAGTTATTTTCGTGTCAATTGAAATGGAGATGGTTAAATTTATAGATCGATCAAGATATCACATCAATTTATAAAATCATTACCTATTGGTCTTAATTATGCAGAAAGCTGTAAGTTCTCGTGGATTAATATGTTCAAACATCAGAAATCAATATTTGTGAGTGTTAAAAAATGTTTAAGGCCCTAAGAATACATCTCTTTGACATGTCTCAAGTTCATCTGATTATTTAGTCTTTCATAGTTTTATTTTCCATGTCTAAACACTTTACAGTGTTAACCTTTTATGGACACATTTTTTTTCAAGAAGAACTGTATCTTTCTATTCTAGTTGCGAAAAATCCCCATGATAATTTTTAACTGTTTGCGCAGAGTTTCATTGTGCTTAAGTTTATCTTGTCGAATCGTTATAATCATCACTAGAACTGGTTATTCATTTTACCAGCTGGGTTGTTTTGTCGAGCCAGGTTTTATTATTATAATCATCGTCATCATCATCAGATTTCTTTTCCGTTTCTATTTAAATTTAATGATTACAATTATTTCATCAATGCTACTGTTACGATTAAATAGGATAATACATTATTATTATTATTATTATTATTATTATTATTATTATTATTATTACTATTATTATTATTATTATTATTATTATTATTATTATTATTATTATTATTATTATTATTATTATTATTATTATTATTATTATTATTATTATTATTATTATTATTATTATTATTATTATTATTATTATTATTATTATTATTATTATTATTATTATTATTATTATTATTATTATTATTATTATTATTATTATTATTATTATTATTATTATTATTATTATTATTATTATTATTATTATTATTATTATTATTATTATTATTATTATTATTATTATTATTATTATTATTATTATTATTATTATTATTATTATTATTATTATTATTATTATTATTATTATTATTATTATTATTATTATTATTATTATTATTATTATTATTATTATTATTATTATTATTATTATTATTATTATTATTATTATTATTATTATTATTATTATTATTATTATTATTATTATTATTATTATTATTATTATTATTATTATTATATTCACCATCATTATTATCATTATTATTATTATATTATTATTATTATTATTATTATTATTATTATTATTATTATTATTATTATTATTATTATTATTATTATTATTATTATTATTATTATTATTATTATTATTATTATTATTATTATTATTATTATTATTATTATTATTATTATTATTATTATTATTATTATTATTATTATTATTATTATTATTATTATTATTATTATTATTATTATTATTATTATTATTATTATTATTATTATTATTATTATTATTATTATTATTATTATTATTATTATTATTATTATTATTATTATTATTATTATTATTATTATTATTATTATTATTATTATTATTATTATTATTATTATTATTATTATTATTATTATTATTATTATTATTATTATTATTATTATTATTATTATTATTATTATTATTATTATTATTATTATTATTATTATTATTATTATTATTATTATTATTTTATTATTATTATTATTATTATTATTATTATTATTATTATTATTATTATTATTATTATTATTATTATTATTATTATTATTATTATTATTATTATTATTATTATTATTATTATTATTATTATTATTATTATTATTATTATTATTATTATTATTATTATTATTATTATTATTATTATTATTATTATTATTATTATTATTATTATTATTATTATTATTATTATTATTATTATTATTATTATTATTATTATTATTATTATTATTATTATTATTATTATTATTATTATTATTATTATATTATTATTATTATTATTATTATTATTATTATTATTATTATTATTATTATTATTATTATTATTATTATTATTATTATTATTATTATTATTATTATTATTATTATTATTATTATTATTATTATTATTATTATTATTATTATTATTATTATTATTATTATTATTATTATTATTATTATTATTATTATTATATTATTATTATTATTATTATTATTATTATTATTATTATTATTATTATTATTATTATTATTATTATTATTATTATTATTATTATTATTATTATTATTATTATTATTATTATTATTATTATTATTATTATTATTATTATTATTATTATTATTATTATTATTATTATTATTATTAATTATTGGTGGACGAAAACGTACTTTCATTAAGGAAGGTAGCGAACAATTTTATTAGCGTGGATGTCCAAAACCAATTAGACGAAGTAGAGTTTGATCTTGAACACCGTTTCATAAAATAATCAGGTGTAACTAAACTATAAGGCCAAGTCAATGATGACATTATGATTTCAGTCAGTCAGTAACAACGTGGAAATTCGTACGTACGTACATCAGTTCGAGTTGCCACACCACATTAGCACAGAGATGCAGTTGTTGATTCAAATCCCGTAGTGGTAGAGGTAGCAAGAGTATAAACAGTAATCGGAAACTTTAGGGTTTGAAGATGTTATTCAAGGAGTATAATACAGCGAAGTAAATTTGGAAAGAGGAAAGAAGGGACATGAAGAATTCAGAAGATTAGAGTTTGAGAGAATACAAAGAGTGGATGCAACTGCGCCAAATGCCCTGGTACGGCCGAGAGTGGGGAGAGTCCGCTCTCCCTCTCGAAATGCTCTCACATGGTCATGCGTATATAGCATCTGCCAGGGAAGTCCTACTCACTGCCTTCTCGTGGCATTACTGTTGTTTACGAAAATGAGAGGACGAAAAGCGAATGTCTGGCGCTTTAACCGGACCCCAAACCAATGGTGCACATGGGCTCCAGTATCCTGAAGGAACAAATGGCGTATGAGCCAATCGTTGGTCACCGGCTACCATGGGAGTGCATCTCCTTACGATGCTCCACTGCCTTGTGGATCAGACGTTCAGGTCAAAGGCTCGGGGTGTGGCCCCCTAAGAAAACTACCTGCTTCGGTTTGGGCACCCGGTCAGTATCACAGCCCTCACACAAATCAATTGAGATTCGTGTGGCGCATATGTATTTGGTGCCTTCTTGTACCGATATTTATGTGTTAAAATAAATAAATAATAAATAAACGGTTTTGAGCCATGTCATTCAAGGTCTCTAACCATCGGTTGCTATCATCTCGCGATCCCCAACCAGGTAGTGTACACCTACCAACATGACTCAGTCCACTTGTCAGAGACTTCATGGATTTGTGCCATGTTTTGGTCTGGCCTCCCCTAGCTTTCTTCCAACCTACTGCTATACCAATGAACATCGCATGTCGGGGCATTTGGTGGTTGGGCATACGTAACAGATGTCCCAGCCATCTCAACTGATTAAGTTTCACTACTTCATCAATTGATTTGCTATCCTTACCTAGTACCTGTTTCCTAAAAACTGCGCTACTTACTCGGTGGTCCCAGGATATACGAGCAATGTTTCGAAGACACCTATGATCAAATACTAGTAACCTACGAATATCCTCTACTCTTACTGGTCATGTTTAACTGCCATAAAGTAGGATGGAACGAACTGCTGCGCAGTAAACTCGTCCTCTGGTTGGTAGACGGATATCTCGCTGGCAAAAGCTAGTCGAGCCTTCTGTATCCGTGCTGAGATTTCGTCACCCACCAGACCACAAGGGCTGATGAGACTTCCGAGATAAGTGAAGCGGTCGACACGCTCAACTACTTTACTCCCTTTCACTAGTTCGGGTGTCGATGCAACTCAATCCTGAAGCAACATTTTGCATTTCGAGGGCGAGAATCGCATGCCGAACACGCTTGCATTGTTGCTTAGAGTGGTCAGAAGACTCTGTATTTTGTCAGCGTCTTCACTAAATAGAACTATGTCATCGACATATTCTACGTCAACAAGTGAATTTCTCGGTAGAAGTTCAACTCCTGGAAATTTAGATGAGGAAAGTGTCATCTCTAAAAGCACGTCAATGACAAAGTTAAACAAGAATGGAGAGAGTGGACAGCCCTGACGAACACCACTTGAGGCAATCAGTTCTGATGACATTTCGCCATAAGCTCTCACTCGACCAGTTGTGTTCGAGTAGAGAGCCTTTATAAGGTTAATGTACTTCTTCGGTACTCCTTTCAGAGAGAAACACTGCCATAGAACCTCACGATTAACAGAGTCAAATGCCGCCTTAAGGTCGAGAAATACTACGATTGTGGGGCGTCTGAATGTGTGTCTATGTTCTAGGACCTGACATAGTGTGAATATCCGGTCTATACAACCACGTCCAGGTCGAAAACCAGCCTGGTTTTCTCTAGTCTGCTCTTCACGAGCTTTGGTTAGACGTCGAAGTATTATTGAAGCTAATATTTTAGACATTATATTAGTCAAACTAATTCCTCTGTGATTGTCACAGGAGGACTTTTTTCCTTTCTTATAGACTGGTACAATCAGTGATTGAGACCAGTCAGATGGGATTACGTCCAGTTCCCAGATTCTACCTAAGACCTCAGTCAATCTCGGTGGTAATACTGGACCGCCATTCTTAAAAATCTCAGGGGTAACTTTATGATTTAGAAGCCAATTTTCAGTCATTGACCACGGATTCTATATTAATCAAAAGTATCTCACAGCAGAAGTAATGACATACGTAAAACTCATTGTTCTGTAATTTTTATTAATTTTTCTTACCTTATAATCGGTTTTCCATCTGAATATTAGAAAAAATGTTAGTACATGATCTTATTTATCTGGATGATAATAGATTCACACGAAAGGTTGTTTACTGAATTTTCCTCATAACAATAACTATTTTTATCGGAAATTTATCATGATGTATAAAAGTTTTATGAGTAAATTCGTCGAAGTATAGCGAGATGAAATTATGTTACAACCATATAAGAAATTCAATAGTATAAATTACCCATTTTAGCATTCTTACTTTATTGGCTTGCCTATTATTCAATGAATTGATAAGGTTATTTGTTTAACTCTAATGTAAACAAAATAAACTAACAGGAAATCGCATTGGTTTACGTGTTACGTAGAACTTACATAGAAAGAAGTGAACATTTAAT